GATTGTGAGGAATCTTAAGAGAAACAGAGAACCATTAGAAAAGTCCATAATATGGTTAACATTTAAAAGCCATTTGGGATCAATGAGCTATTTTTGATTTTTTTATTTTTTTTTTCGCTCAAGAAGTTGAAAGCGTAGTAAAATATATAAATGTATAATATCTGCAAATATTGAATATGTTTGTATCGATCCAAAGGTCAAGAAGAGCCGTATGAATACATTTGAGCCACATTTGAAAGTAGCACCATTCGAACAGACGTCCTTCCACCCAGAAAAGAAGAGATTAAATAAAGCTTTAAATCAACGGCATTCATGCCAGTGATGAGTGCATGTAAACGTCTGAGTGGGACTCGTTGTATTGTGTTTTTTACTTCTGCTGTTTTCTCCGTGTGTTCATGTATTTCTGCCTGGTTTCCTCCGTGCAGCGTGTGAGGGTACGTACTGAGGACAGACATGTCTGTGTTTGAACCCACATTGTTTGTCCGGATGAGATCACTCCGCAGCTCCTCTGGGAGTTTTTACCGTGTTGCATGTTGAAATCAACTAGTCGCATGTGTTCCTGATGTTTCATGACCGCGTTCACGTCATGACCCCCAACCCCCTCATTTCCATGGCGCACCTTTCCCACCCCGATCGAGCCGCGTCTCATCGTCGCTGACCTCGACTCGTGTTTTTTCCAGGTTGTGCTTCGACCTCAGAGCAACTGCCAGTCCGGGCGACAGTTCGCCCTGCGCATCTTCAGCAAAGTGCGCCCCCCGGTGGGAGGAATCTCCGTGAAGGAACACTTTGAGGTGAGAATCATGTCGCGCAGCTGCAGCACATTTCACTGCGGTTTTGCTGTGATTGAGCCGCTCTGCTGTGATCAGGTGAACGTGGTGCCGCTCACCATCCAGCTCATGTACCAGTTCTTCAAACGGATGATGGGGTTCTTCTTCCCGGGCCGAAACGTTGAAGAGGAAGACGTCACGGATGAGGAAGACAAGTCCAGAATGGTCACTACTGGTACGTCATTTTGTGAAGAAGGCCGTTTTTATCTCAGTACAGAGTTTGTATGGCTACTTGAAATCCTTGAAAATGGCAGAATTATAAGGTTTGGAAAGAGCTTGATTCATGTATCAAGACCTTGAAAGTGCTTGATGTTCAGAACTGCATAGTTTTATAATAAACTGCAATCTAACATTTGATCAAAAGCCTAAATTAGAAAATTAGGTAAAGCCAGATATTTTCATCCACCTCATTAAAAGGCTTTTTTTTCTGATTATTTACATTTTTTCAAGGGCGGTTTTATTTACAGAGACTTCCTGACCCATTTTATTAATGGTTTCTGTTTTATGTTGTTTTTATTTTCGTTTTATTGTTTTTAGTTGTCACTTTATTTTGGATAATTAAGATATCTTCCATTTTGTATTCTTGCAAAATGAAAGTTTATTGATCTTTGAGAGCGTGAACTTGTACATATATACTATTATCTATATATTACTTGAAATTGCTCTCAAAACAACAATGTTACCATTAATCGTGATAATTATTAGGATGATTTATTGTCCAGCAAAAATGATCCTAACTGTGCAGACCGATCAACACCAGCTTCTACTTTCTCCATCCTCAGTGTTGAATTACTTGTGTGTTTTTGAGAACTGTGGTCTTGTGTGTGTGTGTGTGTGTGTGTGTGTGTGCGCGTGCGTGCGTGCGTGCGTGTGTGTGTCGCAGCTATCCCAGTAAAACCCCGGCCTCTGTCGGAGGACACCATGGGCGCCATGGGCCCCAGTAAGAGCATCACCCAGGGACTGAACCGCACGGCAGGGGTCAGGAGGTCGTTCAGGAAGCCTCCGGAGGTGGGGAGCCGATTCTGAATTTCAGCTGTTCAGGAAGGAGGGAAAGAAACAAGCTGGTGTTGTGTGTCGTCTCCCCTCAGCATCCTGTGGATGACATCGATAAGATGAAGGAGAGAGCCGCTATGAACAATTCCTTCATCTACATCAAGATTCCCCAAGTGCCTCTGTGTGTCAGCTACAAGGTGGGTTTCACCACACAGAGGAATTCAAGCAGATAAATAGCTCATAATTTAGCTGCAAACATTACGTTTTATTATTTATATCCGGACTATCCAGTCAATGTAGTTTTTTTTTTTTTTTTGCGAGAAAAAGTTGCATATTTATCTGTTTAATCTGGTGACATGATGCGGGTTGTTCGTTCAGCTCGTTTAAAATGATTTGAACCAAAATAAAATAAAATGCAATTGAACATTCTGTCATTATCATTTCAAAACCTACGGATCAGAATAGATTGAGACTGGAATTTTTGACACCACATGTTAAAATGACAGACGTCCCTCTGGCTGTGCACTGCAAAAAGGGCTTAAATGTGTTGGAAATTTTTTGTTTAGTTTTTTGTTTTTTCCCCACAGGGAGAGAAGAGCAGTGTGGACTGGAAAGACCTGAACCTGGTTCTTCCGTGTTTGGAGTACCACAACAACACGTGGACGTGGCTGGACTTCGCCATGGCGGTGAAACGGGACAGCCGGAAGGCCCTCGTAGCGCAGGTGTCAACACTTCCACAAAAATATTCACACCCCGTCTTCAACGTTTCACAAACCTCAGTGTATTTTATTAGTTGCTTTCTGTCAGTCTGGAACATAAAATGCTAAGACAGTTATAAAGTTGAATTTTGCAATTTCAAACATGTAAGAAAAAGTGAAATTGTTAGGTTTTTTTTTCTTTCTTGTTTTACATTTTTTGGAAGGTCCATGTTTGTTTTTCGTTGCTTATCGTTCTTCATAAACGGCTCCATGTTGCTGCCCAGATGATAAAGGAGAAGCTGCGGCTGAAGCCGGCCTCCGTGGCGGAGCTGCGCGGGAAGACGTCCGACGGGAAGACGGACAACAACCAGCAGCAGCAGGAGGAAGACGAGAAGGCCCGGCTCCTCATCGGCCTCAGCACCGCGGACAAAAGCTCCAGCAAGAAGAGCATCTTCAGCCGACGCAAGTGAAAAAACCCCCCCAAAAAAACGCACACACCCCTCACTGACGCAGCTCCCTCCGAGGAACACCCGACCGTCACTCCGGCTTCTGGAACCACGTTGGAGGAGCGGGCGAAGCTTCTCCTGTAGTTTCACTGCATCACATGAGCCTGCTGAACCTGTTTTCCAAGGATCTCCATGGAAATGTGGATGTCAAAATGACCAAATATGTGGTTTCGTGTTTGTTTTTTTTGTTTGTTTGTTTGTTTGTTTTTGTTTTCTGTTCATCTGCGTGCCAATTATAGCATTTCATACACTGGGCAGCTCTGATTCACAAAAGCATTTCACTGACGGAGCTCGGAAATAAAGTGAGGAGCGGTGAATTGGTAAAGCGAGAAAATTTCAAACTTATCATTAAATGACAAGTTTTATGTGTTATAATGAGAAAGCTCATCTTAATAAACTCGTTTTGGCGTGTTAGCATCTAGTTGAAACTTTTAATGAAAAGGTCATAAGAGAATCGTTCCTATGAGCAAGAAACGTTCTGGTCTGATGTCTCATTACAACGAGAAACGTTCATGTTTTAACGAGGCACTTTCTTGTTCTCACAAGAAACATTTGAGAGACCTTCTCGTTTTCCTTTAGCAGGAAGCATTCTCGTTTTTGCCAGTTTTGCATCACGTTATGTGTAAAGAGAAACGTTCTCATTGTGAGAAACTCTTGTTAACTAGAGACGTTTGCATTTTAACAATCAACTTTCTCATTTTAATGAGAAACGTTCTCATTACGAGATAAAAATAGCTCCTCTGACTAGTTAGGACTTGGTGAATAAAGGAGGCTCGCTATGACTATCCTTCTCCTCCATGCTTTCTCTAGACAACATCTAAAAATCCCAAGAGGTTTTGCTGCTTTACCATTACAACGTTTCTTGTCAAAGGTGAAAATGTTTTGGTTTAATTTTTTATTAATGTATCTCGCTAAAACGAGATCCTGCTCCTGAATTTCTCTCCCAGCTCCGTCAGACTGATGAACCGGATTCCTGCTCCTCTCCTGCTGGCTCAGGAACACCGCTGCAGATCCAATACACACACACACACCCCCACACACACACACACACACCACTTTCACTACTAACCGCTGGGATTCCATTCATTTCATGCTAAATCTAAATTTATCGGTGTATGTTTTACTAGATATGGAAGAAGCTGATCTGGGCTGCATGACTGTCACTGACATGAAGGCCGACATGTTTTTGATTTTTATCGCATCACTCAGCCTGCTGTTTTACTTTAACTTACCTCAGTGCAATTAATCAAGAAGAAGAAAAAAAAACTCTTCAAGTACTTGATGGTTATGTTGAAAAGGAAAAAACAACAACAAAAAAGAAGTGTGTCTTCTGTCATTTTAACACTAAAGCACTTTTCATGCAAAGTATTTGATATTTTTGTAACCGCGGTTGTTCTGCCACTTGTCTTGAACATTTCGATTAAAGAGTGACGCCACAGCGGCTCCTTTTCTTTACATCTCGGTTCAAGTCGCTCGGCTCTCTGCGGACTGATCGATCATCGATCCGACGGCTTCAACTGGAGCGGCATCTTCCCACAAATCAGGCTGCAGACTCGTTCTGTCCATCCATCCATCATCAATCCATCCATCCATCCATCTTTTTTTTTTTTCTTTTGCGCACATGAAAACAAAATCCAGCTTTGAAATCGCTCATTAAAGGGAGAACGTTGACCAAACTTGCCTCTGCAAGAAAATATATTAAACACATTTCCTATATTTTTTAAAAGTAATATTGTATGAATAATTATTACATAACCTGTCTGACAAAATGAAGTAGGCATGAAAATTCCAAACAATATTGACAACCATCAAATGTTAAGAGCAGGCCAGAATGACCAAACGGTGTCGAGAAAGACTTCAATAAATCATTAAAAGCCACAACAGACAAACATGATCTCAGCCCAAATGGATGATTTTGTTCAAATTACTAGTTGAATAAATAATCTCAGAAATTTGAACTAGACACGCCTGTCGTTATGACGTGGCAAATCAGGAATCCTGTTTGTGATGTTCCACCACGGACGAAAGCGACTTGATTTTTGGTTTTCATCAGAGAGAGGATCCACCAGCTCCACGTCGCTTCAGTCATGGCTTCCTGTCATCCGAGTCGCTCGCAGACTCGGATGCTTTGCTGTGTTTTCTCAGCCTGTGGGAGTGGACCTGGAGCCGCTTCCTCTAGGTGACAGGGAAGGAGTGTCTGAGAAAGAGAAACCTCCTCCAGGCCTCATTTTGCTCTTCCTGCCAGAGTTTCCACAACGTAAATCTCCATCAGAGGACTGCTGTCAGGTGGGGATTTGGTATGGAAACCCAACTAGCTGGTGTGGGAAAGTGACCTCATTTTTTTTCTGCTTCCAGGCCCTCGATGTCATCGCTAAAGGCTCTCTTGGACCCGTCCTGAAAGTCAGGGTTGTTCATCAGGAGGTTTGGCCTGCTAAGGTTGATTGACATGTTACTCTAAAAGAGGAAAGAGAAAGAAAAGGATATGAAATTACAAAATCCATTAGGACGATAATAATAAAATTAGGCATCACAAAAAAAAAACTTTAAAATACAACCTTAAAAAAAAAGAATAAGAAATTTCTCAACTTGTACTGCTTTTAATAATAGATATGTGTTGTCACATAGGTTCTACCGAAGGCAGAGATCTTAAAACATGGAGTGCTGGAGCAAACGAAAGAAGAAGATATAATTCAGGTGGTTTTTCTCCATTTTTCAGAAAATGGCTCTCAAAAACGATGCTAACCTCAACTATTATAGCTCAGAGGCTTTTTCAGGTTTAAAGGAGGGACGTATTGTTTTTGCATTTAATGCATGTTTTGTGCATTTAAGTGCACAAAACAAAGCCAGTTCAAATACTACTTCCATGTTTAGCTGTTCAGTCTCATTTGTCTCTGCTTTGCAGAGGCAGCTCAGACATCCGTTTATTCACCGTGTGCAGGTCTGCTGGCAGACACAGAACCACCTCTTCATCAGTGAGTCAAAGCTGTAAAGATTCCTACTTCATACAAATCCCAGCTCTCCGTTTTAAGGAAGTACTCTGAGATCCAGATCCAGTGATAGTTAGTAGACATTTGACAGAAAACGACAACAAGAAAAAAAAAGTTGAACGTGACCAAATGTGGAAAACATTCATGTCAGGTTCATGACTGTTTTTGGCCTTTCCCTTCCTCGCCAACATCAGGTGGGGGGGGATCTCATTTTCTATGGTTTCCCTTGCAATTTTCTAATTTCACATATTAATTCAGTCGCCTGTGCTGACCTGATTGAACTCATCAGCGGAGACCTAATAAGTGTCTGTGCTAATCTGTGTTATCCCCCTGCAGTGTTGGAATACTGCAGCGCTGGAGACGTGCACTGGTTACTGAAGGGCCAGTTTGACCAGGACCAGGTTCGACTCCTTGCTGCAAAGCCTTGGGTATATGCCTTGGGTGTGTGTGTGTGTGTATATATATATATATATATATATATATATATATATATATATATATATTATTATTATATATATTATTATTCCCTTCTCACCCACCGCGGGTGGTTCTTATCCTCTGAGCTCGGGTCCTCTACCAGAGGCCTGGGAGCTTGAGGGTCCTGCAGTATCTTGGCTGTGCCAAGGACTGCACATTTCTGGACTGAGGTGTCTGATGTTGTTCCTGGGATCTGTTGTAGCCACTGCTCCAGTTTGGGGGTTACTGCCCCGAGGGCCCCGATGACCACAGGCACCACTGTGGTCTTCACCTTCCAGGCCCTCTCCAGTTCCTCCCTGAGGCCCTGGTATTTCTCCAGTTTCTCGTGCTCCTTTTTCCTGATGTTGCAATCACTTGGTATTGCTACATCTACCACAACGGCTTTCCTCTGTTGTTTATCCAGATCGACAATGTCTGGTTGGTTTGCCATTACCATTTTGTCTGTCTGGATCTGGAAGTCCCACAGGATCTTAGCTCTGGCGTTCTCCACCACCTTTGGGAGTGTTTCCCACTTTGATCTCGGGGTTTCCAGTCCATATTCTGCACAGATGTTTCTGTACACTATGCCTGCCACTTGGTTATGTCGTTCCATGTACGCTTTCCCTACCAGTATCTTGCACCCTGCTGTGATGTGCTGGACTGTCTCAGGGGCCTCCTTGCACAACCTACACCTTGGGTCTTGTCTGGTGTGGTAGATCTGGGCCTCTATTGCTCTGGTGTTTAGGGCCTGTTCCTGGGCGGCCAGGATGAGGGCCTCTGTGCTGTCCTTGAGTCCAGCTTTTTCCAGCCATTGGTAGGATTTACTGATATCAGCCACTTGGGTTATTTGCTGGTGGTACATCCCATGTAGGGGCTTGTCCTCCCATGATGGTATCTCTGGCACCTCAACCTCCGTTCCCTGTTGTCTGAGACATTCACTGAGCACATTGTCTGTTGAGGCTTTGTCCCTGATGTATTTATGGATCTTAGTTGTTTCGTCCTGGACAGTGGTTCTCACACTCACTAGTCCTCTGCCTCCTTCCTTGCGGCTCGTGTACAGTCTCAGGGTGCTGGATTTGGGATGGAACCCTCCATGCATGGTTAGTAGCTTTCTAGTCTTAATATCTGTGGCTTTTATCTCCTCCTTTGGCCAGCTAATTATTCCAGCAGGGTATCTGATTACTGGCAGGGCATAGCTGTTTATCGCACGGATTTTGTTCTTGCCATTGATCTGGCTTCTCAGGACTTGCCTTATTCGTTGAAGGTATTTAGCTGTGGCTCCTTTCCTTGTGGCCTCATCGAGGTTGCCATTTGCTTGTGGTATACCTAGGTACTTGTAACTGTCCTCTATGTCTGCTATTGTTCCTTGTGGGAGTGAGACTCCTTCTGTGTGGATGACCTTCCCCCTCTTTGTGATCAGCCGACCACACTTCTCTAGTCCGAATGACATCCCAATGTCAGTGCTGTAGATCCTGGTGGTGTGGATCAGTGAGTCGATGTCTCGCTCACTCTTGGCATACAGCTTGATGTCATCCATGTAGAGGAGGTGACTGATGTTGGCCCCATTTTTGAGTCGGTATCCGTAGCCAGTCTTGTTGATAACTTGGCTGAGGGGGTTCAGGCCTATGCAGAACAGTAGCGGGGACAGAGCATCTCCTTGGTATATGCCACATTTGATGGACACTTGTGCAAGTGGTTTGCAGTTGGCTTCAAGGGTGGTTTTCCACAGCTTCATCGAGTTTGCAATGAAGGCTCTCAGAATCCTGTTGATGTTATACATCTCTAGGCATTCAATGATCCAAGTATGCGGCATTGAGTCATAGGCTTTCTTGTAATCGATCCAAGCCATGCACAGGTTGGTGTGTCGGGTTTTGCAGTCTCGGGCAACTGTGCGGTCTACGAGGAGTTGGTGTTTGAAGGAGTTGGTGTATATATATATATATATATATATATATATATATATATATATATATATATATATATATATATATATATATATATATATATATATATATATATACACGATATATCTATATATATATATATATATATATATATATATATATATATATATATATATATATATATATATATATCAACTTCCATAAGAGAGGTACTTTAGCTTATCAGAGGCAATTGTTGGCTGCCAGGAAACCACCGAGATGACTTCAGATGACTGTAAAACATGTAGCCGCTTCTTTAGACTTCAACTTACAAATGTTCTTATTCCCATATATATCAATTTGTATGCCTTTTATCCCTTCATCCACATGAAAACTTTAATATCACCACAAATGCTTATTTTTTAAAAATCTCCTTTTTTATTTGCTCCTCTGCTGGTCTATGAGTTGCACAGTGGAGCGTTGGACAGACTGTGTACAATTTACAAAAAACTATTTGTATTGTGGTTTTTAAAGAAATATTTAAAATGAATTTAATACCAATTATTTTCTACTCTGTTTTAATCGAACACCTGTTTTTATTGTTTTTTTATTTCTGAAATAAGAAATTAGAAAAAGAAATGCAGATGGCACTCAAAATGAATTATTAAATTACTCTACAACACCCTCTAGTGGTTCATCGAAAATATAGCTGGCACAGCATGCTAGTGATTCCCCACATGCGACTGACAGCATTTAGGCTTACATTAGCATTTTGGCTAATTTGAGCTTATACACTAATTTTAACATACTGAATGGTTCATGTCAGTCAATATGCTTGTGACTCTCTACAGGCTATTGACTACAATTTAGCTAAGTTTAGCATTGATGCTAATGTTTAGCATCAGAACACTGGGTCCAAACCGACATTCACGCTTTGGCAGGCCCTGGTTAAATTTATTCAGGAATTCTCTAGTATTTATTGTGCTATTATGAGGTGTAGTTGCTGGTTGGTTTCAAATCATTGCCATCACTTCATAACCTCACTATGTTTGAAATGAAGGTGTCAGAATGATAGCTGGATGTTCTGCCATAAAGCAGAATTTAAGGTTCTGGTTCTATCCAAGTTCTGAAGGACTGAAGTATTCTAATACCATCATACTATCACCACCATCTTTGACAGTAGGTGTTATGGGTATTTTTTTTTCATTTCTTGAAATGCTTTAGATGTAACAAAACGTTTGGCTTTGAAAAAGTTAGAATATTCTCCCCACAGCCTTCGGTAAACGTGGGTTCACTTGATGTTTGGTGGCCAACTTTCAGCCTCCACACGACCTACTTAAAGGATCCCTCCTAAACCCATTTAGGACATCCATAATAGGATGGAAAATGAAGCACCAGATAAAGTCTCATCATTAAACGTCTTTAATTAGTTAACACGGGGCAAAAAATAACTCCTAAGGTTCCTACGGGAAATAACCGAGTATAATTGCTGAACTTCACAGAGCCGTGGGTCTATTTCAGAACCTTGTCTGCTGCATAGGAGAGCGACGGCTCCTCCCTGACACTGAATTCCCTCTCAGGCCTTTGTCTTAGACAGGTCCACCAAGTCTGTGTTGTGGCTGTGCGGGTGGGACGCAGTCCAGTGACCCACATCTGCCTTCACCGACACACTGACCCAAAATAGAGGAGAGAGGAGTGAGGAGTCCCCAGGAAAAGACGGATGAGTCGACTCACCTGAGGGTTGGTAAATAGCGCCATTACATAACTGAGCGCCTAACAGAAGCAGTTTTATTAACCATGGAGTGGAAGTAAACAGATCAGGCTGAGGGACTGGGGGTGGAGGATGTTTGAATGAACAACATTTAAGCAAAATCAATGATTACACAATTGTTTTTACCCGTAATTATCTTCCTATAGCAGCATACTTTTCAAGTTTAACTTTCCATGAGCGTCTAATTAGTAACCTCTGACTTTCTGTTTCCCTGGAGTATAACTATGACAGAGCAGGGGATGAATTCAGTTAACCCCTGACTATTAGGCTGAGGAAAAACGCCCAGAAAAAATATGTTAGATCTTATGATTATACATTTAAATGTGTGCTACAGTATGCTAGAATTGCATCTAAAATTTGGTTAGGTGAAAGACATAAGACTGAAGTTTATGTACAAGAGAAACATACCAATCTGATATCAATATCTGTATCGCCCCTGATATTGAAAAAGAATTCTAGATGTGATATGGGTGACAACGTGCCTGATCCATAACGGAACATCTATTCAGTCTAATTCTATGCTGTGTGCTCTGAGTGACATCAGGCTTTATTATTTATTCTATATTATATTTAGAATTTCTAATTGCTCTTTCTGAACCATTTCAAGGATAGTATGTTGCCGTTTATTTTTCCATAACCAAGATAGTCGGCCTATTGTTTCAGTTTATCATTTGTTTCACATTGGCTGTTTTAATCCTAACTGCTCTGACTGAACAAATTAAAGTTTTGCTGTTTTCACATGTTTGACCAAGATTGTGAAGCTATTGATGTATTCTGGTGTTCTAACTCTGGGACAGAGTTAGTAAATAAATGTGTAATTTAGTACATTTATGTTTGTGTTTAAAAAATAAAAGTTTGAAGTCAGTTTTTCAGTATTAGATCAGTATCGGCTAATGCTAAACCTTAGATATCGGAAGTGAAAAACGTGGATCGGTGCATCCCAGTCACCCTGTGGGCCTGTTTCTCCCACAGAGAATCTTGTTGGCGTTTGGCATCATGACTGAAATACCAGAACACTTTTAGAAAAACATTACTAATGGACTAAAAATAGACCATTCCTGTAGAATAATGATCCAAGACGAATGACAGAGACATGTACCCTGGACTTCACATGATCCTTCTCCCATGTTGATCCTGACCTTTTGTGCAGGTGTGAATCAACTCAAGCTAACTCTCCTATTTATCAAACAATCGGACCGAGATCCACTTTTGAGGATGTCTAGGTCCACTCCCAAATGAACTCTGGTGCAGTTCGCTTCTGGTGTGAATACCGACCGGTCTCAATCTGAACAAACTACAGGAAATGTAAGTCTTTTTGGACTTCATAAGCCACCACTGCTGCGCTCTGTGGTAAAATGAGCCTTTCTGTGATGCTACTGGCTGCACGTTGTGACTGTACTGTTTCCTGATAGCTGTGCTGCTGCCAGCGTTTTGTGCATCGGGACAGGCAAAGATCTGGTCTAATTGCTGCCAAAATTAATATTCCATCTCAACATTTTTATTTTTTTTTAAACAAATTACAAAAAAGCACAATGTGAAACCGTTTCAAACAAGAAAAATAAAGACTGCTTTTGGTCCGGCCTAAACAAGTGGACCAAAAGACTTTCCTGGCATGAATACACTCTAAAATTATCTAAGTTATACAGAAAACAATAAAACATCACAATCCAGCTTCATCATATGTTGTAAAATATGCGGTTGTAAAAATGAGAAAAGGGCAGGCAAAAATTTGGGCCTTTTTTCCACATCTTTGTGGCTAAAGTCAAAACTCTGCGTAGGAAATCAACCCTTCAAATTGAAAACAAATTGACATTTAAAGCCTCATTAACACAGGAGTGACCAAAACCTGGAATTAACCATTACTATTTCTGTGTACTTATGATCGCCTCATAATCAAAGTGAGAGGATGTATAGCCCTGAGATTCTAAGGGTGTAAGTAACAAATTATCAAGAGACCAGAAACTTTCCTCTCTGCACTTTTTTTTAACTAATTAAGATAAAGATAAAACCCCTCAGGGGAGAGGTTAAATAAAGCTGCAACAGGGGCAGAGATTATGGATATATGATGTAGGTTTTGAGATGTTGCCAGAGTGGTAATGGCGGCTGTCGACACAGTGATAGGAACTGGCATTTAGGGAGAAAAAGAAGGATTCCTCTCATTAAAACCTGCTTGTGAGCTTCAGATTTAGCTGTGCTTCTGCTATTTTCTGTAAGAAATGTAGGAATCATTTCACTTGTGTAAATTGAAGTCGGAAGTGGATCTGAAAATGTTGGAAAATTGCACAATGACTCATCAAAATTTCTAACTTATGTAGGGCAGAGGTGGGAGTGTAAGCTCCGCCCAGGGGTGTATTCTTGTAAGGTGTGACACACTTTGAGTTGGATACAAACCAGAGCTGACAGAGAGACAGTATCATTGCTCATCACCTCATCAGTGGAGGTAAGATGGTTTATCTCTCCTTCCTTTTGACAGCATGATATTTGGCTCACTGTTTTTGCAATAGCTTTTACCTAAACTGTTTTTTTCTTTATTGTGCACGGAGAACATTTCTTAAACCTTCATTCCAGCTTTTATTAGCTTCGGAAATCTTTATTTGAACATTTACACGAACGGTCATTCATTTTATGCGTCTTTTTCCGTCAAGTTTAAAATATGAACGGTCACTAAGTTTAAAGTAAAAATAAAAGAAAATGAAACGACACAAAAGTATTTGTTTTGTTTTTTACTTTGAAACACAAATACGAAAAAAAAAAAGTTCTATAGTTTAATTTTCCTTCATTTTTATTTGAGACGTATTTTAGAATTATTGACTAAAAACAAGCTCTTACGTCTTGCTGAAAAGTTACATGTAAGTCAAATCAGTTTTGTCTTATTTCAAATGTGCTAAAATATTTTTGTAGTTTCATTTTCCTTGATATTTTTATTATTTTTATTTTAGACTTAGTTACCATTCATATTTTACATTGGATGGAAAAGATGCATAAAATTAATGAACGTACATGTAAATGTTCCAATAAATATTTTTTAGTTTTTTGCAGTGAAAAACATAAAACATTAGATAGAATCAGGAGCGCAAATATTTATTGTCTGATGTGTATGAAGACACATCTCCCCGCCTCTCTAATTTATCTACACATTCACAAACACCTGCTCAATGCTGAAAAAAGGAAAAAAATATTCTCCATCGTTTTGGCGCCCACTTTTTGCGCCACTGGATAGAATTACATTTCTACATAAAAAAGACTCCAGCTAAGAACATTTTTTTCCCCTTCTTGTAAATATACAACTGACTGTGCTTTGTCAATGCCATAGCGGCTACCCTTCTCCTGCCGGCAGCAACCGGATCACCGGAAGATCAACTCTTCCACCAGTCCCACGATGACGCACCAGTTCCCAACTCTCTCCGAGGCCCAGAAGAGGGAGCTCCATGAGACGGCTCTACGCATAGTTTCTCCAGGGAAGGGCATCCTGGCTGCAGATGAGTCTGTGGGTCTGTAGCACTCTGGCTTCCCTCTTACCTCTGATTCCTGGTTAAAACCACATTGTCTGAACTCCAAAGAGATCCTGATGGATAAATCAGGATCTGCAGGCAGCGTGTTTTCTCTGCAGGCAGCATGGCCAAGCGGCTGGCCCAGGTCGGGGTGGAAAACACGGAGGAAAACCGCAGGCAGTTCCGTCAAATCCTCTTCAGTGCGGATGATCGCATCAACAGCTGCATTGGAGGAGTCATCTTCTTCCATGAGACCCTGTACCAGCACTCTGATAATGGCGTTTCCTTCGTGAAAATGATCAGGGACAGGGGGATCCTGGTTGGGGTCAAGGTGCGTCCGCTCTCCAGTGAACGCGCAGCGTGATGCAGGTCAGAACTAATCCAAACTTTCTTCTCTTGATAGGTTGACAAAGGCGTCGTTCCTCTGCCGGGAACATGCGGGGAAACCACCACGCAAGGTCTGACCAGCTCATATTTATGGATCAGCTCTACTTTTTATTTTAGGATTTGCAGCTCAGCTTTAAACCTTTCTCTGCAGGTCTGGATGGTTTGGCAGAGCGCTGTGCGCAGTACAAAAAGGATGGAGCGGTGTTTGCAAAGTGGCGTTGCGTACTCAAAATCAGCGACTCCAATCCATCGAAACTGGCAATCACAGAAAATGCAAATGTTCTCGCGCGCTGCTCGAGCATCTGCCAGCAGGTTAGAGGGCTCAGTAGTCTGCACGTTATTTGTGGACTGATACACCTGTGTAGATTAATTAAGAATCTTTGATGTTTTGGGTAGAATGGCATTGTGCCTGTCATTGAGCCAGAGATTTTACCTGATGGTGACCATGACCTGAAACGCTGCCAGTACGTCACAGAGAAGGTAAGGTTTTTGTATTTTTAATATCAGGCTGTCCGGACACACTTAAAAAGACTTAAATGTATTTTTTTAATATAAGGTCTGAAATTAACTTAAAAAAAGGGCAAGTTGGTCTTAAAACCCTCCTGCGGTCTTAGTCACAGTCTGACAGTGGAAAGAGGCTGGGTGTCAGACCATCAGTTCCCGAAACCACACAAAAAAACCCCTCATAAAGTGCATGCCACAGTGCTCAGTGCGACCCGACAGACCACACACAGGGTAAAAAGCTTCTATCCTCAGACCACTGGAGCGTTAAAAGAGCCTCAGGAATGTAGGGGAAAAGAATTTACTTGCAAAGAACATCACAGGAAAATATGGGATTATATAATACTTTAGCAAAAAAATAAATGCATTCAGTTCAAACCATTTGTGCTGCAGGTCCTGGCTGCAGTGTACAAGGCCATGTCAGACCACCATGTCTATCTGGAAGGCACTCTGCTCAAACCCAACATGGTCACTCCTGGACACAGCTGCCCCACCAAGTACAGCCCAGAGGAGGTGGCAATGGCATCCGTCACCGCCATGCGCCGCACCGTTCCTCCGGCCGTACCGGGTCAGTGACACTGCACCCACTGCCGATCAGCAACACTCACACACTTTTGAAAACACTCAATTCTACCTCTGGTTTTATGTGAAGAACTGTATTTACCTAACAGAAAGATGCTAAACGCTGATGGTTTACTCTCTGCAGGGATTTGCTTCCTTTCTGGAGGTCAGAGTGAAGAAGAGGCCTCCGTCCACTTGAACGCCATCAACAACTGCCCCCTGGCCAAGCCCTGGGTCCTGACATTCTCGTTCGGCCGGGCCCTGCAGGCGTCGGCCCTCAGAGCCTGGAGAGGCCACAAGGAGAACGAAAAAACCGCCACGGAGCAGTTCATTAAGCGAGCGGAGGTACTTTTTTCTGACATGTTTAGTAGCACGTAAAAATAGGTTTTAGTTGCTGCCTGTTTTGCTGTATTTATTTTGTTCCTCTCAGGTGAACAGTCTGGCATGTCAGGGGAAATACAGCGGCGGTGATAACTACGCCGAGGCCGGCCATCGCATCTTCGGCTCCTGCCATGCTTACTGAACAAAGACATAATTATTAAGCATTATGCTTAATTTCTTATGCTATATCCCCGGTGAATAATACAGTAGACACTTAGACCAGACGAAAATTGGAGACCTGTGAATATATTGAATGAAAACAGCTGGCAGTGTTTTATTGGGATGTTTAATGAAGACAATCAGGAATGTAATCAGGACTTCTCATGTCTGAAGGAAATGTCTACTTCCTCTCCATAATGTGTGTGTGATGTAATGCAGTGCTCACGCAGTTCTGTAAGTCTATGAGAACATTGACTTGATAGCACAGACTACAGTTTACATCAAGTAGTGTCAGTTGCTAATTATGTGATCAAGTAGATGATGCTCTTCATCCCCTTGTCTGAAAATCTCTATTGCTTCTCTGAGTGAAATGAATGTGCTTAGCTTAGCGTTTAGCACTGGTTGTTCAGAGGTAAAAACAGTAACGCCTCGCATTAGCTTTGAGCTAACGAGCCCCTGTGCTCCCTGCTGACCTCCGAATGCGTCATGTATTCTCTGTACAATAAACATCAAACATCAAATGCAATAAAAACGCTTATTGTTTTGTTTATGGAATGGCATGTCTTTGTTGTGAAAGAATAAATCGGTGTAATAAGCATGTATTAAACAAGATAAGTATCGGAATGAGTCCTTAAATATTTAGTATTTTAAATGTTTTAGTAGCTCTCAAATCACATTTGTGAACAGGCTGGTCCTAACCTGTTTGGTGCACTGAGCAAACAAAACACTCTGTCCCTCCTGCAGGATTTTGGGATGTCTAATTTAAGGAGAGAAGCAATTAAAGTGGTGAGATAATTTAACAGTGTCATAAACTGTAAAAAAAAAAAAAAATATATATATATATATATATATATATATATATATATATATATATATATATATATATATATATATATATATACATATAAAACATTGGTAAATATTGGTTGTAATATCGGCCCAAATGTTCAAATAGCTGCGTCCCCATTTTATCGGCAATAAAATCGAAAAAAAAATAACAATGCAACAGAGTGATGACAGCAGGCTAACAGCACTTTCCCAAATTAATGTGATGTGATTATGGGGCATTTATTCTGACATAGCAAACAGCTAATAATTATCAAAGAAATGGACCTACATATACTTCTAGTTAGTGAGATATTCAGAATAGGAATCCAAGCAACACTTCATCCTATTTAATATCGTCCACATTACATCACAAGGTCACTGTCACTGGTATTTATGCAATTATTAATTTAAAACTAAACTACAGTATACTATATATATACATATATTCAGGTATATACTAATACTTATTCATTGTATAGACTTAGTTTGATCATAAAGTTTCTCATTTCACATTTTGAAAAACTAATTTTAGTATATTTACAAATAATGCCGTTTTAATAAGCTGGTTTGACTAAACACTAAAATGAAATTTCTACAAAATAGATTTTAATTCCGATTAAACCGTGAAACATCCTGGCTAAAATCCTGCTGGAACGGATTGGGTTTTCTGTTTGTGACAATCTTTCTCGCTGCCTGTTTGCATAACTGAATGGTTGGGCGTGATCGCCCTCTTGTGTTGAGCAGTGGAACCACAGCACGAACATACTTGTCAGATGTGAAGCGGATTATTGTAGCATTAATAGAGAATCTTTCAAACACAGTTAAACATTCATGATATCTTTAACCTATATGTAAAAATATAGAAAAACAACATTTGTTAAAAGTAAAACTGCCTTACAGCATCTTCTGAAGTTTGTATAATCAGAGTTTATTGAGTGTAGAAATATGTTGAATGCAACTCTAAAAGCTCAGAAAACATGAAGTTATACAAGCTTCAACTTGATATGTTATCTACTGCTAAACAGACCAGTCATCTGCGGTTGTCATATTTGAATTTAATTTGAAGAGAAAGTAGTGGTTGGATATTAAAACATGACATTATGCATTTTTGTAAGATAATAAATTGGTACTAAATTATCTGGATACACTAAAGAGAGAAAACATCAAAGGTTTTCAGCTTTTCTCTGCAGCTTGCCTGTAAAAGTTGAGATATGTTTTTGAAACATCTGAAATAAATAAAATCACACCAAAAGAAAAGCTTGAATTTACTATCTACTGAACAAACAAGGCAGAAAGGACAATCCTGTCTGATCCCTTTCAGCTTCACCTTTTGTTGTCTTCTGAGATGGGTCACTATGATTACTATAGAAATCAAATGTTGTAAAACAAGTTGTGTTAAATTAAGGATGTAAAAAATTTTGAAACGTGTTTAACATAAGAGTAAGGTCAGTAATGATGTGGTGGTCAAAGAACTACCTAACTAGCTTCATATATTGAACCATGTCTGTTGGTAAGACTTGTTGAATTAATATTGTTTTTCAATATTTGATCATTTTGTCTTAATTGTTGGATAACATTTAGTAGCTTTAATTTGTTTTTGCCTGAAACAATAAAGAAAAGTCTAAACAGTTTGTGGTTTCCTTGGTTGACTCCATCAATGCAATTGCAGCCTTACTGTCTGTCTACAAACAAATTCTGCTGACCTATAAATGCACACCTTTATAGGTCAGCAACAGTATTTGACAGTTTTTCTAAACCCATATCATTCAAGTCTATGGGTTACGGTGACATTTAGATTCCCCTTCGGAGAAGGAAAGTATTTTTAAATTAAATTGAATGTCAAAATGCCCACATTGTTTCTATGGTTACAGTATTTTTAAGTTTTGGAAAATCTTTCATCATACGTCACATAAAAATTGGGAAATACAATACATCACAGTTTGCGGTAATGGTATGAAAACTTGTGAAAAAATTCAAAGATTAGGAATGCTTGTGGAAAGTGCTGTGGAAGGATCATCCAAGAGTTTATATTTCATAAATTAGATCAATGCCTTTTTTATGCATTGACCACAAATTGTGACGAATTAATGATTAGTTATAATTAATTATATTATTATTATTATTATTATTATTATTATTACATTCACTTACATTTAAATCCATCAGACCGGTGACTTTGTAGCATTTGTTTTCATTGGACTAGTTTCTATGGCGGATGTGTCAGGTCTGGCAGAAGTGTGTTTTAATGGGCGTATCACCAAAGAAGAACTGAGAAGTGATCTTCACTTTTTAAGAAATGTGTCTGTTCAAGAGACATTAGTCGCTATATTAGGTTTTTCTACACATTTTTCTGATTAGTTTCTATTTCCATATCCTTGATTTTAGAGTCACTTGGTTTTCTAGGTGATTTTGGACGCCATAGTTTTGAAGCTCGCAAACAACCCGCCGTCTTTCGTCTCTTTTTTTTTTTCCCAAGTTAGCAGCAGCCATGTCGGGTGTTGTGCGAGGCCCCGCTGGGAACAATGACTGCCGAATTTACGTGGGGAATCTCCCGCCGGATATTCGCACCAAAGATGTGGAGGACGTGTTCTACAAGTACGGGACGATCCGAGATATCGACCTAAAGAACCGCAGAGGAGGTCCGCCGTTCGCCTTTATCGAGTTCGAAGACCCGAGGTGAGGCGCTAGCAGCGGCTAGCCGACCGAGCCGTAACCGATGCCATTGTGTTGTCAACGCGTTGCTCGGGGATCCGGCTATTTCCTGGACGTGCATTGTTCATGTGTTTTCACTTGTTCCTGAAATCACAAAGTGCACACACACGGCTGTCCTGTCGCGCCACATACTGCATATAAATGTTGAAATCGTAACACTTTTTCACACATCTACAGCCTCTCCCGAAGCACATCCATATATTTAATTGCGCCATTTTGGCGGCAGTGTAATTTCTGCGCAGCCTCGTGTCAGCTTCTTGCATTGAATGTCATTGTGTGATTTGCGGGTCTCCAACGTGGATTAAGAGACATTGACATGGCGACGACCCGTCCAGGTATTTACCATGCAATGCTCTCGGCATCAGCGCTCTCAATGGGTTTCATGATCTGTTCCGGTTTTCTAATTACAGGGACGCCGACGATGCGGTCTACGGACGTGATGGGTACGACTACGACGGCTACAGGCTGCGGGTGGAGTTCCCACGGAGCGGCAGAGGCTCCAGAGGCGGGTACGGGGGCATCGGTGGAGCACCGAGGGGCAGATATGGACCTCCATCCAGGCGCTCAGAGTACCGGGTCGTTGTGTCAGGTAAAGTGTTGCTTATTGTCTCTCTACTCGGTGAAACACCGCGTTAATAGACTCATGCTCTGTGGTTGAATAAAGTACCATTCTGGCATTCTGTAGATTAAGACTTTCCTGTGAAAAATACAACTTGAATGAAGTGATCTTTAGTTGGGATACTATTTACAAAAGTGCTGAAGTTCAAAATCCAATATGGGTGTCCCACATAAAAAAAAACCCATCAGAAAACTAGCAAGTACAACACAGCAAGTGTAATTTCTGAAAGTTTTTTTTCATGTAAATCAATGCTGCACATGGTATTGGACATCCTCATTTCTAAAAATTGTTCCTCAATACTTGAAAGTGTAAAATTAAGAGAAATACAATGTTTCTTACTTGTCTTGCAGCTAGTATTAAATGGCAAACGTGCTGCTAAGCAATAAATAACATTAAATAACATTGATTTCATGGTGTTATAGTCAGATGAAGCAGGACTTAACTGTATGCAGAGGTAAAAGTTTTAAATTAAGCTTTTAAAAACACTTTTTGCTTTGTGTGTTAAATAGAACCTAATTTCATAATTATTACATATATACAGTAAAATAATTGATGGTCAAATAAATCCTGACCTGCTAACCGGCCCAGATGTACATTTCAGACCAGCTTTATGTTCTGAAACAGCTGCCCTGCCCATGAGTTGAATGAGTTATTAAACAAACAGTGAAATATTACCATGTAATCTCAACCCAATACCTTACCCAAAGTAAGTCACAAGAATTTGAACATTGTTTTCAGGAGATATTGTATTTTCTATTATCACAAATGTAAGCTGGACCCGATACCAAACAATGTGCATGTGTGGGCTTTTTCCAACTTTCTGCCACTGTCCATGAACGTTTTCTCTCCAGATTTTTGTTAGGTCTGAATGTGTATGGTTGATCCTGTCTCTGTGACGGACTGGCCTTTAAGTATGAGGCTCAAAATAAGCAAGGGCTACATAATTAACTGCAGCTTAATCATTCTCACTACATCAGCATGTGCAGTATCACATTGAGCAGCCTGGACTGCTCAATGTAAAAAAAAAAAAAAAAAAAAGTATAAAATATTGGCAAATCTGGCATAACACCAATGTTACTATCAGATATCAACATCAGTCCAATCTTTCATATTTGAGCGTCCCTAACATTTAGGGATGCTCAGTTTAGAAAATTAACTCGTAACAATAGCAGCTCACTTTCTAAGTTAACCAGAAGAAAAGTTATAAAAAAATCTGAAATTATATTCAATTTAATGATAAAGAGGCAGGCTCACAAATACGCTGATTAAAAAAATGTCTATTTCCAGCTTTTAAACTTACACTGTAACCATCAACTACTCATCTGCCCGCTGTGTTCAGTCTATCCGCTCACCCGTATAAATACTCCTGCAGCTCTCTTCCCGCCGTTCGCTTTGAACCAACAGCTCCTGGAGGAGAAAGGCTGCCGTACTCCAGGCATCGCGCTAGTCATTTTAAGGATGCTTATTGGTCCTCACAAAATGACAAAAACCCGGGCAATATAATCAATCAATAAAATCCCCACGGGCCGAACTTGAAGATTGGACTTTATGCCGCTCACACTTGACTTTCGCCAACAAGTCAGAGGCGGAAGTGAGAGCTACACACAAAGCAAATAATGTCCCGGCTGGAACATTATTTGCGCTAAATAATAAAACCCAAATTAACAAATCTTCGAGGCAGGTAAATTTTCCTCAAATTTTAATAATCAAGGTACTTGAATCAGTCGAGGAATCGTTTCAGCCCTACTCTGTAGTATTCAGTATTTTTTTCTTCAAATCACATTGTTTCATGTGTGTTTGCTATTCACGTTTGTCTGATATTGTGTAGCTCTGATACTGACAGTGAAATAAAAATTTTAGCTTTAAAAGTACCTGAACAGAGACGAGCATCACGTCTATCCCGACACCCGTCATCATAGCTTTGTCGTTACCCGTGAAATATGAACAAAGTATGATCTATTTTCTTCTTCTTACCAGATCCAGTTTCTGATTTTAATTTTTAAAAAATGCTTTACTTTTCTAAAAAAAAAAAAAAAAAAAAAAAATCAAAATATTAAAAGAAAACACTTTTATTTTTGTTGACGGAGTATTAGAGCCAGGCTACAAGAAGTTTTGTTTAATGACAAGAAAAAAGTCATATCTGCAGAATAAAGACACAATTTACCAGAAGAAAATCTTGAAATTAGGTTCAGATGTAATTGTTTTTGTTTTTATGTTTTTTATCAAATTTACTGCAGGATTTTCCTGCTACTGTGACTGTATTTTATTGAATGAATTGGTGGGGGAAAAAACAATCCAGATTTTCCAAAAATTCAATCTTCAAAAACCAAAAATTAGTTTTTGATTATTGAACAGACACCTTGTGTAGGTGCATTAACCTCTGAAAACTGTTTTATCACAATAACAATATTCCAGTCTTCACTGCTGTACCTTGTCAAAGTTGAACCCTTGCGTGTCGTCCTTGTGTCCAGGTCTTCCTCAGAGTGGCAGCTGGCAGGACCTGAAGGACCACATGCGCGAGGCGGGCGATGTGTGCTACGCCGACGTTTACAGGGACGGAACCGGAGTTGTAGAGTTTGTGCGCAAAGAGGACATGACCTATGCCGTCCGAAAGCTGGACAACACCAAATTCCGCTCCCACGAGGTATGTGTACGGGGTTTTGATGATCTGTCATGGATAATGATGATTCTTTGCCGCGTCGCGGTGAGTATCGTAACGAAGTGTTCCTTTAGTCGCACGCCGACACCCAGCCCTTACCGTAGCCCGTCTGTAACTTCGGCCAGAGGCAGGAATGTTGCCTTTTCAATGTCAAGTTCTCTTGTGTCCGCCAGGGAGAGACTGCTTACATTCGTGTGAAATTAGACGGTCCCCGCAGCCCGAGTTACGGACGATCACGCTCCCGCAGCCGTGGCAGCAGAAGCCGGAGCCACAGTCGCAGCGCCAGCCGCAGTCGCAGCAATTCCCGAGGCCGTGGCCGAGGATCTCCCCGCTACTCGCCCCGTCACAGCCGCTCTCGTTCCCGCTCTTAAACCTTTGCCGCCATCAATGGTTTATTTTTTTTGTTTCGTTTTGTTTTCCTCTCCTCCCTCCTCCACCTTCTGATGTATTCCCTCCTGTTTTTTACCTCTAAGTTTCTCCAGATGTCAGCTATCAATTTTTATTTTTTGCATTTCTTGTCCTGGTGTCCTTGTGGATGATCTTGGTGTGTACGTGTACCCTCTTTTCTCCTCTCTCCCTCTCTGCTTTTTTCCCCTTTCGTTTTCTCCTTCTCTCCCTTTCTTTATGTTATCTCAGATTTTGAACATTACAAGTTGTGCTGTGGTGAAACTTCAAAAATGTTGAGTTGTGAGAGCCGCACTCAATGTTTTTGGAAGTGTTAATCTGAAGGTTTTTTTGTTTTTTAAACATTTTAGTAGCTTCTCTTTGGATAAATGTGGGGTGGGCTGTTTTTTTTGGGTTTTTTTGGAAGCCCGATACTTAACTGTATTTTACCCTTGTGTCTTCCTTTAGACATCTGAGGAGAAGGATTAAAGTGATTTGGAATAAAACCATTGTGGAGCACATTTCATTTGTATGGTCAGGATACAAATAGGACATCTAGGAGGAGGATAGGACATCTAGGACCAATCAGGTCGAGGCAATGGTATGCTTCATATTCCATAAACTGAACATTTTGACAGGTTGCCATGTTATGCATGTTATTTAACAAAGATATGTGTTACTGTACTTTGTTAAGACAGTCTGTAACATGCTACTCTGGTTTCTGACAGAATAAGCAGTCCTAAATCAAGTGTTGCGATGTAAGTGTAATCCTTGCTGTCAAATGTAAAGAAAAAAAAAAAAGACAAAAACTGCTTTGTATTAAAAGCATCCCAGTTTTGAGCATCCTTGTTGGTTAAAAAAAATGCTTTGACGTCAGGAATTTTGCAAGTTTTTTTTTTCTTTAGTCTTTTTGAGTGTTCAGTGGAAAAAAAATAGGCCCAAAACTCTTGACATTTCATTCTAACGGTCTGCCTCTGATTTTCTTCCTGGTATTTCAAGGTTTTGATTGGAGGAGTGGCTCAATGGATCCCAATCCTTGGAGCTGGATGAGTGGATCGATTAGGGAAGGGATAGGCAAGGATGGATGCTCGGGAACGGGAGCAGTTTCCAGGATTCAAATTTATCAGAACAAAAATAATGGGAGTCCCAGAGCACCTTTCTTTTTTTTATGCCCCTTTTTGGTTTAGACCCCAAAGGCTTTATAATAGAAGAAAACGAAACAGAGGACCAGGAAGTTGGATCAAAGGATGGAGTCGTAGATGTCCGGTATGAGGGAATTAAAAAAAAAAGGGGAGGTTGGGAGAGGGTTAAAATCTGGGAATAGTTTGTAATGTTTTTGCTTTGCATAATCTTTCTTTTAACATTTTCAATAAACACACTTTCAAACATATTTATGGAGTTTGTTTTTATTTGCAGTTTGGGCTAACTGACCACAAAAAAGCTCATTTTCAAATTGGAGCCATTTTTGATTTCTCAAACTTATGTAACTTGGGAAAACATATTCATGAAAAATTTGATTTGTTGTATATTTTTATTTTACTCAACACACTCATTGAATGATTTCTTAAATTTTTTGCCATGCATGGTCACAATAAAAAAGTGATGAGATTATTGTTTGATGCATCTTGCTGATCTAAAATGTTTGCCTTTTTTCCATTAAAGAGAAGTGGTAGTTCCAGAACTGGGATGAATGTAAACTAATGCGGTAATTGTTGTGGTCTGCTGAAATCATCAAGCATGAATTACTTTAAGTAAAATAGAAAATTGTGTCTGAAAGCACATTTCAGTGATTCTTACTGACTGGTTGAAGTAAATGCACAAAACTCAAACCTTAGACAATAAGTGAAGATTTTATTTGTTTTTTATTTTACTTGTAGTAATGCTAAACAGCCTACACTGTGTTCCTGGGGTGTTATAAAACTTTATATTGGTGTTTGATGTCAAGCACATGTTGAGGGAAACTAACTACTGCAAATAAACCTCTGGGTATCTGACTAATAAACTTTATTGTAAAAGCCGCTATATGTAAAAGACAAACGACTGAAATAGATAATTTCCTTGCGTCTCTGGTGCAAACAGCAGTTCACAAAATACATATGGAAAAAACACCTCTAAAAGATATACAGTAAATAATGTGTAGATGGGGGAATCAGTATATAAACTTTACTAGTGTTATGTAATTTGTGTGGGGAGGTTGGATCAGAGTTTGTGGGGGCAAAGGTCAGGGAAGGTAATTGAGAACCATTTTGTACAGATGGCCTTTTCAATATTAGTGACTTATTGAATGTTCATGCAAGTTCATTTTATCCAATGAGCAGATTTTTAGCCAATTAAAAGTATTTTTTTTTTTATTTATTAAACTACTAATCCCAGGTCAGACTCATTACTGCCCAGCCCTTTGAAAACAGTCTTTTTGTTCCCTTTTTATTTTTTTAAAGCAAACTCAACTGATTTCCTAATGCATAAAGCAACATATTGAAGTAGTTTATCAGGCCAGAACTCATTTAGTTGTGAAATTTTTTCCATGGAGTTTGATGACATGTCACTGAAGACACGCTGATGTGTGAAAGTTTCATTTTGCTGCTGACATAACTTTGTGAATTTCAAAATATAATAAAAAAGACAGGATGTCAGTCACAGCCCTACTACATGACTAGTGTATTCAATAAGAAATGAATATTATTATAAATTAAAACGAGCTTCATCAACTATATCAAGTGATAAGTGATGTTTATTTATGCTTCCTGTTGCGTTTTATTCTGGGCCCAATTAAAATGTCCTCCAGTTCCAGCGGTAAATATTCGCCACAAAATTCAAGTTCATTGGTTTTTGAGAGGGCGAACATCCATTACTGTTTAATTACCAGCACATTGCTTGAAAACGGCGTCGAAAACAAAACAACTGCTGTTGTTTCTGGGACAATGTTCCGTCCAGAAACGCGTTGCTCGGTTTTCGTGACGGAACCACGTTTCCAAAGAGCCGAACGGTACCTTCCAGCAAGCCGCGGTCCAGTTTCCACTGTATCCTCCAGTCGGTGGCGTATGCTGCGAATGATGCATTGTGGGATGAAATAAGATGCCGGCAGAGAGGAGCAGGAGAAAAACGCTCGCGTCGCGCGGGCAGGCCGCGCCGCAGCCAATGGCAGGGCGCGGCCCGCAGCAGAGAGGGGAGGGGGAGGGGCGACAGCCGCGGACAGCAGCGCAGCGCAGAGCCAACCTACCTTCATGCTTATTGTGTAAATCTTTAAAAAGCAATTAGCCGCAGCATCATCTTCACCTTCCCTCGCCGGCTCGTTTAAAATCCACATTTGTGACCCTCCTTCCACCTCACAGGCGCAGGAAAAGGTGAGTCGCACCGCCCTGATCTACAAGATCCATTCACTCTCTCGGTTTGGCATATTTAGGATTCTTGTTGTGATGATGTGCTTCTTTTTATTTATTTATTTATTTATTTTTTACTCCTAGCGTTCATGCACGCTTGGAGGCTTATCCTAAAAAGACTTGAACTGGTTTATTTTCTGAACAGTCTGCTATACTGGGGGATAAAAAGAAACGTTTTCATAATTGTTGCAGTTCTGATGCAAATGCATTGGCAGGAAAGTAATTTAACTCCACCTGTATCAAGTTTCACTGTACATTTCTGCAAAAATACCCCCCTGCTCCGCCTCCGTTTGGTTAAGGGGAAAAAAAAACCTCTAGAAAACCCAAGTAGAAAATCGAAACGATCAGCTGGAAAAAGCCGCTGTGCAGAAACGTTCTGCGTGTGACTGGAGGAATTGCGATGATCTGGCCGGCCTGCGAGCCATCACCAAGCCCTCGTCTCCACCACGTGCAGCGACATTATTATTATTATTATTAGTTATTTGATTTGACTCTCTACGTGTTTCCCTCCCCAGCACGCAGCCTGAACCATGACCGACAGGAAAGCGGTGATCAAGAACGCGGACATGTCCGAGGACATGCAGCAGGACGCCGTGGACTGTGCCACCCAGGCCATGGAGAAGTACAACATAGAGAAGGACATTGCTGCCTACATCAAGAAGGTGAGCAGGCGTGTTTTACATCCAATGGAGTCATCAGAAGGGTTTCCTGTTGCCATGTTGAATGTTTCTAATATTCCAATCACAAAAGTTTAAACCTGTCCTCATTGGACAAAAAAGGTAGAACTCCCTAAAGGGTCGGTCCAATTTGGACATAATTTGGTCCACATTCAGATCAGCAGAGTATTTAGCTGATTCAATTTGCAAAGCGATGGCTGAAGAGTAGAGTAAGCACCGCAGGGGATAAGCGTTGGGATCGGCTTTAGCCCTGGTGTTGCTATCAGGCTGTTGCTGGAGCATCCAACAACCAGTGAGTCAAATAAATGAGTGAAAGTCTTCAGACGCCAGCGCACTCGCTGCCATTTCATTTCAAACGTCAGTAAATGAGTTTGTTCACGCGAGGTCCCTCTCCTTCCGCTTCCTGTTGTATTGTCTTCTTCGTCGTTTCTCCCAGGTGTGCAGATCAGGTGTGGTGCGAAAAAAAATATTTCCATCACAGTTCTGCTGAAATACGCTAATTGCGATATGGCGGAAAAACCACCTCGTCTTAGTGCAGAAATCTTTAATCAAAAAACTCGTTTTTTTTGGTTTTGTTTTGTTTGTTTTTTTTTCTCTAAAACTGCTGTGTTTCCATTGAGCGAATGTATTTTTGTAATTCCAATTTGTGCAATTATACGGCCAATGGAAGCCCTGCTACTGACGCAGCTGGCAGAATTGCCAGGCGTTGGTCAGTTCAGTAACCTCGTGTAGGTAATAAATACATTTGGGGTTTAACTATTAAAACAAGAATATATCACTTGACCTCAACCTTTTAGTATTCCTTGCTGCTGTCCTGCTTTCCACAGAGTAACACTGGCAGTAACGTGCAGCAACAGGTAGAGGAGTAACTGCATTGCTCAATGCGCTGGCAGAACCTCCAGTCGTCAAAGAAACATTGCGCTCTTCCATCTGTAACCCTTCAAACTCTTGGTATACCTAATGAATTTCCACGCTGAAGTCTCCGATTAGTAGCAATGTGGGTATGTGGGACGGGTACATCGGCACGCCCCAAACTTTTGACAAGTCCCCTCTCTGTTCAGGAGAACTGCATGATTTAATGATCTGGTCACACAGACCTAAATTTTGATCGCCATCAAATTTTGAGGAAGTGCCGTCTTCATTTGATCTGTCTCAGGCAGCCTGTGTGTCTGCTGACCTTCATCACCGTCTTGTCTGTCGGCTGCTCAGCTGTAAGCATGTAGCAGTGATGCGCCGTTTGTTACGCCTGACATTTTGGCTCTTTCCGTATTTAATTATGATTGTCTGTGTGGGTGCCAAGTTATGTTCGCACTATTCCTTCTGGGTGCTTAACTTTTTATTTTCTTTCTTTTTTTTTTTTTTTACTTTTTGAGCTTTTATGGTAAAGTTAGGAAAACAGTGGAAAGTGGACAGAAAATTCCAAAGTGAAAAGAAAAGCATAATTTGTGAAATCTTTTTGAAACCAGCAGCAGCAGTAACTGGAAGGAAAGTACGCCTCAGTTTAGCTGTAATTGAGAGAAATCGTTATGTCTGCTTATACTCTTGTATGTAAAGCGCATGCAAAGGTCTGCAACCCTTGCACTTAAAGTGAATTTAGGTAAAGGGATTTGTTTAGGCCATTAAAACGTCCTCGTCTCTTTACAGATGGAATCAGTTTTATCTCAATTTGAAGTGGGGGGAGGGGTATTTATCCCTTTAAAAAGCTGTTCTTGTTTTCTTGTTTCAGATCAAAATTTTACATTAGGTTAAAAAAAAACTCATTGGAAAATGCTGCTTCAAATAATAACTTCATACAATCTTTTGATTTAATTTGACTTTTCATAGCCAGGTGTAATTACTGACTGGCCTGTAAAATCAGCTACAAAAATGACTCCAAAGGAGCATCGACTGCTCATCCAGGAGGTCAGGAAATAATCCAGAGCAACATCTAGATCACCATAGGCCTCACTCTTCTTAGTTAAGGTCAAAGTTCATGAAAGTAGAGTTTTACATCCGGGATAAAGTAACTGGTGAAAGCTGGATGAAATACTTCAATGGACATAATGATGAGGAGGGTCTTGTTGCTGTCCATCAATGATGATTAGCGTGCTAGTGGTGGGAAAACAACTTACCATTCAGAAAGACTATCCATCATCATCAGTGGCTGTGCTAACTAGCCTTCGCTAAGTTGTGTGACTAATCCTCTCGCCTTGTCTCTTTTTAGGAGTTTGACAAGAAGTACAACCCCACCTGGCACTGCATCGTTGGGAGGAACTTTGGCAGCTACGTCACCCACGAGACGAAGCATTTTATTTACTTCTACCTGGGCCAGGTGGCCATCTTGCTCTTCAAGT